GTGAGGGGGGGCAGTAATACATTACAAATCTGTTTTAAATGTTTGGAAAATAGCTGATATATGCACTTGTGACTGTGTGGACGCACATCAGTTCTATTTTGATGCACCAAGTTGCATCATTGCTCAGTAACCATAAACAAAACCTAAATCGCTCTAATGAAGCTGTCTACATTGGATGCCATCAGCAACACAGTTTGCAGATTACAGTTTTCTGCTTAGTGCATTGTTTTAAAATCACGCCACAAGTATAAACTGTACAGCACATCACATTTGTACCATCGACATATACAGACAAACCACCCAGCCCTGCACTGTAATGATATTACACAGGAAATTGAAAGAAAGCAGCCCATATATGCTGCCGCTATTTAATCTTTTAATGGTATGTGACGCAGATTGGATCTGCACAAGTCTATAGATAAACATGGAGGGCTCGGTCTGTAACCGCATCCGATGAGTATCTGACAGTCAGAGGTCGCAGTCACAATGCTACATGTTTACAGCAGGTTAACATTTATAATGGCTCAACGTCTCTCATGCATATTTGTCCCGTGTTGCATGCAGATTTTTTCGTGGATGGCAGTGATAACAACGCAGGAGCTCACGCCGGTAGGCGTGACGCGTCTGATTTATTGCCCATTATTCAGAAGGAAATGAGCGTCATACACTAGTGACTGTAATAAACGATGGACGGCTCAGCTCAAGCCAACTTCAAAGGCATCTCTGCTCCCTCCTGCTCTGGCTCAAAACCGAACGGGAAGGGGAGGGCAACAGGGGAGGAGCTGTGTGCTCGGGTTTTTCCGGGGAATTCCCCTAACTTCCCCGGTGTTATTTCAGAGTTATCACTGTTTACTGACACTGAAATGCTCTCTGAATTCTGAATGGAGTGCAATTTGTTTTCGGTCGTTTTGCAAAGTTAAAGTCACACTGTTATTTTTGCAAATGGTTTTTATGCCACTGTTGCAAGGTCCGAATGAGCCCACATTAAACACAAGATGACTGATATTGTGTTTGAAAAAAGACTGTAATCCAATCAGTTTCCATTATAATCCCCCTAAACCACTGTGAAAAAACTGGAACCATCTTTTGAGTTTTCTGGCAATATGGGTGCAGGCCTCCTCGATGGACTCCTTAAACACAAAGGTCCAGATGTCTGAAGGTACGTAGGATAGCCTTTCTCAAGCCACCCACTCTCTCATTTGTCTTGCGAGATTAGACGGCTACAAAAAGTTGGCACATCTGTCCATTGAATCACAACAGATGTCTGTGAACTGCTTCCCCCTTCTGGCTGGCGGTCATCTCACCCATTTACCCCCATGACCAAAAAAAACCCCATTGATGTTTGGCTTCCTGCAAATGAGGGTGGTTATGGGAAGAATTACTGTGCATTAATGACTCTTAGATCTGGATAATTCACACTAAAGTAATTTCTGTAACATGGTCATTAATTTATACCTGCCTGATTGGAAATGAGCAGAAAGAGCATGAATATATTGTCCCACTCCCACTGAGAAAACCAAAGACGTCAACTAAGATGGGAGATGAGAGTGAGCCAGCAGCAAATGAGATGCAGCACTGGTTTAAGGCTGATTTATACTTCTGCATCGGACCTACGCCGTAGGCTATGCGTCAGTTTTCATTTATACTTCTGCGTCGTTGTCCGCGTCAACGTGCAGTACACATGCAAACCGCTAGTCAGCAGTGTCCACGGGCATGTTGCTGGTGTAACCCGCAGTACCTCGGCAAAAGCCGAAGAAGAAGCGGCTCGTCGGAGAAGCATTATAGCCGTGACGGGGGGGAAATAAATATCAAATCATTAAATCATTATTTAAAACTACAAAAAGGAGACAACAACGGAACAGGAGATGATGGCATTCTTTCAGTCGGCACAAGGACTTGTACCACGGCAGATCAACATTGTTTGTTGCAAACAACTACTGATGTATAATGCTATGTAGTATAATAAATGATAAGACACTTGTTCTTTGCTTTGTTTTATTTTATATAAGAAGGTGTAACATTAAAATATATTAAATTGCACATAAACACACAAAACTCAAGTACATATGGAAGGAGGGGTTCTTGCAGACCAATCACAGCGCTTGCGGTCTGCGTAGAATTGACGCGCTGTTAGATTTTTGGAGAGGTGCGCGTCAGGCTACGGCGTATGGGTGTGCGTCTATGCGTAAGCTACGGCGTAGGTCCGACGCAGAAGTATAAATCAGCCTTTAGTCCACAGCAGAGCATCTGTTTGTCTGTTCTTCTCTATTTGAGAACAGTAACTCCCATAATGTGTTTTTCCAGGTTCATAGTTGGAGGTATTCCAGTGATGATGGGATGAGACCATGATTAGAGATGTGCAAAATTACATCTTTTCATAATCGACTAGTCAGAAGCCCTGTGTAATTAGGCTGGTTTATGGTCATGACCACCACAGACTTATCAGACATGTTTCTTAAAGGGATAGTTCACCCAAAAATGAAAATTAGCCCATTATTTACTCACCCTCAAGCTATCCTAGGCGTATATGACTTCCTTCTTTCAGATGAATCCAATCAGAGTTATTTTTAAAATCGTCTTTGATCTTCCAAGCTGTTTAATGGCAGTCAGCGGGTGTTGCAGTTCATCAGTCCAAAATAAATTAAATAAAGCGCCATCCATCCATAATAAAAAGTGCCTCACACTGCTCCGGGGGGTGAACAAAGCCCTCCTGTAGGGAATCGATGCGTTTTTGTAAGAAAAATATCCATATTCAAAACGTAATAATCACTTTAATCTAGCTTGACCTCACAGTTGTACATGGAAGCAGCTCCGGGAGGATGACGTAAGAGTTGTGCATGCGCCGGTGAGTCTTGTTTAAAACCAACGTTTGTTTACAGGAGCAAAGAAAGCAAAGGAAAACAAGTCTCCTCTTGGCTTATATCGAAATCCTCCGACATTCTTCTTTACAAATCCTCGTTTTGTACTTCTAATTCGTGACCATTGGTTGTTTTGATCTTTCTCCTGCGCTTCCGCGTTCGTTTTTTTATTTTTTTATTCCTGCTCTGTCATTGTCTGTCAAATCTTATGGTCTTTAGAAAGCAAGATTAACAGTAATAACATAAAAATAAATAATTAAACACATTTAACACTTTATGGTAGTATTTTGACTTTTTTTTTTTAAACCAAAAGATGTATTTTCGGCCGACCCTCAAGCACCCCTTTGTGATCTCTTTAATCTACTAATTGGTGATGGATGACCAGTTGATCATCCTGTCCCGTCCAAAGCCACAATGCATTTGCAAATGTTATTTTTGAAATCGCTATGCTATATGAAGCAACCCTTATGTAGAGTTTATGTAGAATGGGGTCATAGTGGGCAAATGATGTAAACACTGTGGATGCACAACTAAATGCGCCACTTTGTCTTCTGTCAAATTTGAGTTTTGCAGGTGTACTTATCACTCACGTTCTCGTTTAATTACCATTCATAAAGTGCACCCAGCTTCACTCCTGTGGCTTGATAAGGACACTAATGACTCATGTGATTTGGGACTTCACAGATCCTTTTTTGTTCAAGAGTGGCAATATATCACATGTTAATTACACAGGATCTAATGCGTTTCATGAAATGTACAATATTCCACTGGATGAGAGATATTAAAGCTCTTAATTAGCTGCCGTCCAGAAGCACCTGTATGGCATTATCTGGAAAGCTCCATCAAGCCCAACGTGCTCTCCCAAGGTGACCAGGAAGTACCTATAATAGTAGGGTCTTGGGAAAAGTGGCATCGGAAGAGGATGGCAGCCTACCGTGATTTATCCGAAAGCCATAATGACATCATTCTCACTGCATGAGAAACATAAATTTGGCCCATCTCTAATGGAGGTCCCGGGCTTCTCTGTCAGCCAGAGGTCTCTCGCTTTCTCTGTCTCTCTCGCTTATGAGATTTCATGCTGCGCCTTTGGCAGGGCGGCTCAGGTTTTCCCAGGAGAGAATGAGCTGACAGGTGAGATGATTTATTACTTCTTCCACACGTCAACGCATTCATCGCCCATCCTTCAATCACAGGCACAAAATACCCATTTGAGATCTTACAGATGTCCTTTGCTATATAACAACACAGCCTTCTTTTGTTGTTTACAAACCTGCCGCAAGATCAGCTGGTCTGTTCCCATTGCGGAAGCGGGTTGTGTTGAGATATCATCATATGCCATCATGCTATCGTAAAGAGACGTGTACACTTCATCCGTGAGTGATGAGAGTCATCTGTCAGGACAGATGTTCCTGTTCTGTCCATCATAGGAACACTGTGCCGTGCAGCTTTGGCGATCCCACAACAATGAATGCAGCAGCTGCCATGGAAGCTCAGAGCAACTTTTGTAAAAGCATTTTTGTGGCCTGAATCAAGGAAGTCTGTAATAATTGGAGAGAGCTAGCATAAGCATTCACATTCATCTCAGGAGCCTTGGTGGCATGAATGATCATCATTGGCCATTGGATTTCATTGGCAGAAAGAACTTTTAATGGATACTCTGTTTAGTGAGTGTCTTTTTAATTATGTATAATAGTATATAAGCAAATCTACAAATTGTGAAAGTTTTCTTAACAGTAACTTTGCACACAGATAGCTGATTAGCTTGTTAGCTTAGCCAATATCTTACCCAAATATTCAAATAAACATTTTTGTATGTGCAGCCATGTTGTTTTAAAACAATCACCTGACCTGTAAATGTCGTGTGATTAATAATCCATTGCAAAGTAGTCAGATGTTTGAATTGCAAAAATGTAGTCTCTCCCTATTGTGACTTGTATATATGAGTGAAACGGCATCTCGAATGAGAAAAAAATGTAGAGCTGAATTTAATTTTGTCTGTCAGGAATTTTTGGGATCATTGACGTTTACTAATTGTTGTGGTCTTATGTGATCATCAGGTGTTGGATGGGACGTATTATAGGAATAAATATTGTTGTTTTTTGATTTCATGGTGACTTTAAGTAACGTTTCTTGCTCTTACAGGAAATCAGAGGAGGAGGTGGACATGGACAAAGTGACAGCTGCCATGGTGTTGACCAGCCTGTCCACTAGTCCTCTGGTGCGGAGTCCTCCTGTAAAAGTTAGTGGTAAGTAACTTTAGATCACAACCACACCGTGATCTCAGCCTTCATGAAGTCTTTTTCACAGTGTTTGCTTTGAGCTGCAGAAACGGCTTGCTCTTCACTCAGCTATTTCCTGTTTTCACTGTCACATGTGCATGAAAAACTGTCACATGAGACAGCCGTGCACTAGTTCAGCTGTCATGAGACTGGTTTTTGCTGTCTTCTTCTCTTAAAGCTGTCTTCTACTAATAACTTAAAGGGGCCATATTCTATACTTCTGTAGCATTTTATTCCCTGAAGTACTTTTTAATGTTTGGTCATATTTTAGTTTAATCAGCCATTTATACCTTCTCTCTGACCTCCCACACTGTTTTTAATTCTGTACCTTTAAGACTTCTATATTTATGACTTTGTTTGCCATTGATTGTACTATTTTGTTCTTGCCGTGTGCTGACATGCCATACAAAATTAAAGCCTTTATGTGTAAATGACCTCTGTTATGATTGGCTAACCACTTTGCATATGATATGTAAGGATGGGTGCAAAAGTATTGTTATTTTACCTTACAATACTGTTATTTCCATATTCGTTTTAGTAATTTTAGTACTTAAACTTGTTTTTTTTCTGTTAGTTGCAAAGGCATAATTTCTTAATTTTTGTTTAAGTTTTCTAAGTTTAAATGTATCTAATATTTATATTTTACTTCAGCTTTCTATCAAATTTTTATTTAATAGTTTGTTTTAGTTGACAATAACAATACTGATCTGAATGATTTGAGTAAGAACATCCCCTCCAAGTTAATAAATAGGTGTTGATATAAAAACATGGCTGGTCATTTGCCAACGTGCTCAATTCTGTGATGACAATCATGTTTCACATCATGCGGCCCCTTTAAGACCTTGATGAGGATGTGTTCTAACTTTTGAAGGGCTTTAATGGAGTACTATAATTGTGGCTTTTATGTAATATGATTAGGACTTTAACTTTCTGTTATTACAGTGTGTTACAGCACCGCTGCACACTGAGAGTTTCATAAACTAACATAACGTTTATGTCTTTTTACTCCCCATTACACTTAATTGAAAGTTTAGTGTACTATAAAGAAGTATATATGTCGGGATGATGGTAATTACTGCACTTAATGTGTCTTTATGCTTTCACCGTGTCCCATTCTCTCCATACAGAGGGTCTAAACGGCTCTTGGAAGGACGGAGGCTTTACTCCATCCAGCTACAGCAGCAGTGGATATTGGAGTTGGAGTGCACCCAGTGACCAGTCCAACCCGTCCACGCCGTCCCCACCCCTGTCTGCTGACAGCTTCAAACCCTTTCGGATGCCCAGCCTCAGCGGCCCACCAGACGACAACATCGATGAGCATGATGGGAACAGCTTGCTGTTCGACGAACCCATCCCCCGCAAACGCAAGGTGAGCTGCTGTCATCTCACCTTCACTTATGGAGATTTGATCAGGCGTAACTTAGTTAATCGTTACTATAAGAATAATGGATAAAGGAGGATAATAGATTTACAACAAGCGGCACAAAAATCCACAGCCACTTTGCCGCCCATGTTCCTGGCAGGGTTTGGGATCCTTGAAGTGAAATTTAAATGCAATTTTTTTGAGACAAATTGTAATTTTGTACTCCTTTAGAATAAGGACATTTTTCGATATATTCAGTATATTCATTTTAAAATTATTGGCTGATTCAAATCAGACCAATCAGAAATTGGGTTTTTAAACTCGGGTTATGAAATTTATGGCTCTCTCTCTCTCTCTCTTTCTCTCTCTCTCTCTCTCGCGCACACACACACGATGCACAAAACTCGCATTTGAACAGTCAATAGCAAATACTTAAACTAATAACAAAACAGTAGCTGATTCAGAAGCGCCAGATTGTCATAGCAAAGTCAGAATTACCTCCTCTCCTAGGTTCACGAAACAGTCGTCCATAAAATGCATTGCTGTTCTGTTGTAAGTAATCTTAAAGATTCCTAAATGCATCTACTTCCGGAAGGCCAAATAAAGTGCTTTTGCTTTCGCCTAGAAACACACAGCGTCTCCCTGACATGGCTGCTTCAACACTAACTGCGGTTACTGAAACCACGCCTTCTTTCTTTGCGTGCACATTTGGGCGGCATTATGCAAATATTTCCACATAGTGAGGTAGATATGTGGGGGCTAGGGATGTAACGATTAACTGCGAGCCGGTATCAGGACTGTACATGAAGTGGGGGCCCCAGGCAAAATTAATCAGTGAGGCCCTTCTAAATTATTATTTATTATTTTTATTTATTTTTTTAATGTATCTTACCTAGTGATATAATTATACAACATATGAAATGTGGACAAAACACTTCTAACAGTATATAATGCACAAAACAGAACGCGCGCTCTCTCTTACTCGGATGTGCACGCTCAAACCTGTGCACTCATATCTATAGAATTGCCTTCTCTCCTGGAATTAATGTTGCCAGAAGCCCATCAACCACCAGAATTCCATGACTGACTGATGAAATAACAGAGTACCTTTCAATTGTAAACAAATTACGGATCTATCTTTGTTAGCATTTCCAGGCTGATTTTGGTCAGTGAATTCTCGTTATTTATTTTATTACTTAGCCTAATAGCTATTTGAATTAAGTGCCTATTCTGAATAGGTATTTATTTAATTATTTTATGTATATCAGCAAGTGAACGAGTAGCGGCGAAGCTCATGAAAATAATTTTTTGTTTAGTAGTGTATTTGCAGTCTGTGTGTTTCTCTTCGCAAGACACGAATATATTTTGTGTAGCCTAATGAATTCAAGCACAATATCGAATGGAGAAAAAAATATTTATAATTTTTAATTAATTAGGCTGTAAAAAATGGGAATGTTAAAATATTTAAGGCACAGTTGTTGCATGACAACCTAGCCTGTTATCATTTGCTCATGGAAACAATGATGAATAAAATGTTTTATATTTGGTTTGGAGTGGAATAGAGTGTGGGCAGAAACATAAATTGGTGCCTATGCTTAACGTTGTCCTGTTTCCTCTTTTCCTCCTCTTTTTTTTTCGCTTCAGGCTGCCTGATAGATTTGTCCTTTTCTTTATGTTTAACGTGCGTGTTTATGTGTGTGTGCACAAACTTTTTTCAGTTCATTCCTAAGTCGCGCAAGCTCAACTTCCATAGGAATGGATTAAAAATGCTCGGGTCCCGCGTTCTGCTCCACTCCAGATCATGCATTTTCTAATCGAGGACGTGCTGCACCTGTTTGAAAAAGGCGGCTGAGGAGGCAAAAGCATAACCAGTGTATCGAGAGAGGGTTAGTGTCCAGCAGCAGCAGCAGCATGTGTGCCGTCAGCGCAGCTGAAGAGTTCTGCGTTCAAATGCACGCAATAGGCTTAAGCTTGCCGCAAAGCCCCAGCAAAAGTAATTACCATGAATGTGTCAGGGGGAAAGATGAAGGAGATATTTGAATTATTTACTAATAAATAGTGTTTTCTGTGTCTGTGTCGCAAGGATGAAGTTGCCGATCCTGACTCACCACCTCTTCATTATACGAGCCTTTAGAGAGAAGTGCATCTTTACGGATTATGATTATAATGAAAGAGTTTTTGTTTTTGATTTGTTTTATTTCGTTAAGTAGTAATTTAAAGCTTTCTATAGATATATTTATCATGTCTGTGAGGCATGTATTCGCTGAGTTTCGGTTCATTTTTGTGAAGTGTGCCTGTTCAAGACGAGACGGCAGAAAGCGCATCATTCTTTATTTTATAAAAGCACAACGATTTGTTGATATTGTGAGTGCACACAAATAAAAGTATACTTAGGCTAGACCCTTTACAGTTACGAATAATGTATTACTCTTACCTTTATGAGCAAAAATGACGGCGTGCACTGAAAAAAATGCAAGTGATCGCGCTGGCACCTCCATATCCTGCAAAGCGCGCTTCAGCTTCCACTCTCCGCACAAACTATTGGATATAGCGCACATTTATCTAGTTTAATGTTTAAACATTGTTATATGCTTGAACTGTTTTATATCTATAGATTTTATTTTAGGCAAGTTGTGATGATTTGAGAAGGCTAAATTGATCAAACACAGGCTCACGGTCTGCCGCTGGCCGCTTGGTCGTTACTTTAAAAAACAAAAACTTATATTTAACAAACAAAAAATGTTCCAAACGTTTTTCTAAATGAACTTAATAAAAAAACGAAACGAAATTTAATCACTTTGCCATTACATACAAAACTGAACTATTTTAATAGCTGAAACAGTAGTAGCCTATAAGCTTCTTTTGGGAGAAGGGGGAAAAAAAGATGGGCTCGGGTCGGACTCGGGCTGGTAATTCTGATAAGCTGTCGGACAAGGGCCGGGCTAGGATCTGAGCATCTCGGGCCAGGGCAGGGCTAGGGCCTAAATTTGAGGCCCGTGCAGGGCTCTAGGATGGAGAGATGTCGACTGCGTGTTATAGCTATTAATATTAACATTCCTGTTGGTTTAAATGGTCGGCCATCGGGGGCTCCCTTAAAATGCGGGGCCCCAGGCATATGTCCGCCTTGCCTGCCCCATTGCTACACCTCTGACAGCAACCTTCCAACCCTAATCGAAGAACTGCACCCGCAAACCACTGCAAAAACAACTTTTTTTTTAGTGCATTTTATCTGTGTATTTCAATGCAGTAGAAGAAATATGCAGTTTGAGAGCTGAAACATGATTAGATTATTTTAATTGATTGGCAGCCCTAGTAATTTGTATTTTACTCCTGAATGTGACATGACTATTTTCTGAATTTAGAGGAAGATGTGCAAAAGTTATTTATATGTGGTATTATTATTAGCCTCTTATATTAATTATTTGAGAAGTTGTGGGCACATATTTCTTCACTTTTAATAACATACTGTCCTCTCTAGGATGAGGCTCATTTGGAGGTGCCGTTACCAGACATGATGATGCTGTGTAGAGAGGCAATTTACTTGTCTTTACGAAGATAAGTTACCAATGCACTAGGCTGCTCACAGGCACCAATCTACTTTATCTTCCAGTTCGTCAGGCTCATGTCAGGTGCATCCCAGATTCTGTCAGTCTTCCCTCATTTGTGGGAATGAATAGACCTCCTTTATCTCTGTTATTGTCTCTCCAGCTTAGGATTCCAGGACAACAGCAGTGCCAGTGTTTGTCAGTGCCCTGTTTTCATTATCACTACTATTATGTACAGTATGCATTTCATGGACATATTATACAGAAATAATTAAGCAACTTGTCAGCATATTATTACCAATATTTTAGTTGCATATCTGAGTTTTTCTTCTGAAAATATGAATATGTAATCAAATTTACAGCCCTTACAAAACATGTTGTGACAGTACCATGGTGTAATCATGATTATCATATTATTAGATGGTGAAATGGTACTTTGGTAGTATGATATTCACACAGAAATACCCTGATGCTTCTGTGATATTAACTACAAAGCCATGGTATTACCATTAAAAACTCTGATAGTTCATTGTATACTGACTATTTACCATATTCATGTACCATAGTACTTGCATCCTGTACAAAAATTACTTTGACCGTAGTATGGTACAGTGATGGAAATATAATTGTACTCTTCATGATTTGTTTTAGTGTGTACTTCATGGTGTTTAGATGATACTCCAGAGTTCTTCCAAGAAAATCATGGTACTACCATGGTAAATATTAAGTAGTACCATGTTAGTACCATGGTACTTTTTGTGTGCTGATAGGTGGTGATATTTCAGTGAATATTATGTCTATAAAACATGGTATTACCATGGTTCTTTTATGTTACTCAATCATTTATTTACTATGGCATTTACACAACACTCCAAGGTACTGCATTTCAGATAATACTAGGGCACTACCATGGTACATTATTTTTACAAATGTATCTAATTAATAACGCTCTTGATAAATAAGTGTCATTCCTTTTAGAATAATTTCTAGGAATTGCTGTGGAATCATTAGCAGCATCCCAACCCATCAATCAGTCATATCTCAGTGTCTTTCCTGGCAGCGTCTTCTAAAGTGCCATTCCTAAAAGAAAAGCTTTCTGCTTTGACCTTCAGCTGCCTTCTAGAGAGTTGACTTCAACATGAGGACACCAGCCAGTTTGAACTGTGTTATTATTTAGTAGCTGGTTTATAGCACTGGGAATTGCGGTGCTGTTGTCATCCAGGGACATGACGAACGGATTAAGCGGGAAGGAGCTGCTTTGTTTGCCAGACCAACACAATGGCTATCTAGTAAAAATTAAATTAGCTTCATGACAATGGAAACCAAACTACCGCATGCCACTGGCATAATAGCATATGTTGAGAGATCGAAGTATTAAGACTTTCATCTTCACTTATGCTCACTTGTGCTTTCAACCCGAGTGCAGTTTTGACACGGGAGCTGCAGCTTTCAAATAACAATTGTGTAATTAGTGCAGACACATTGTGTAAAAGATGACATGAGCTTTGAAAGACTGTGCTATAGTGTCATTCTCAATGCTGACCAATTACCAGCCTCAGAATAAAGCAAGAGAGACGTCTAAAGTTGGGTGTCCTGCTGAGGCTCTGGGCTCCGCTCGCACCCCTTGCATCCCCCCATGTTAGTCCTTTGTGAGCGTCTGAATGCTGGGTACAAGAGGTCGGCCGATTGATGTGGATTAGTGTACTCATTGTGCACCTGTGTCCCTGACAGAACTCCATGAAAGTGATGTTCAAGTGTCTGTGGAAGAACTGTGGGAAGGTCTTGAGCACAGCCGCCGGGATCCAGAGGCACATTCGCACCGTCCATCTGGGGTAAGGCACCTGTGGTATCATTAAGAAATATGTTATTCACTAACTACCCACAATACATTTTAACCAGGCATTAATGTAATCTAATGCACTGCGCCATATTTAAATAAAGTCAAAGTCATTATTTTCAGTACAAATACGCCTCCTTTTTATGTCAGTTAGGCTTATTATAGATTGTGCCTTATTTGCCTTGTGCATTAGTGAAAGTGAAGTGACGTGTGGAATTTGTGCTCTGCATTTAACCCATCGAAGTGCACAAATACAGTGAACACACACCCGGAGCAGTGGGCAGCCATATTGTTGCAGCGCCCAGGGAGCAGTTGGGGTTTCGGTGCCTTGCTCAAGGGTCTCAACTCAGTCATGGTATTGAGGGTGGAAGAGAGCGCTGGTTATTCACTCCCCCACCGACAATTCCTGACAGGGAGCAGTTGGGGGTTCGGTGCCTTGCTCAAGGGTCTCACCTCAGTCGTGGTATTGAAGGTGGAGAGAGTGCTGGTTATTCCCTCCTCCCACCTACAATCTCTGCTGGACCTGAGACTCGAACCCGCAACCCTCGGTTTACAAGTCCGACTCTCTAACCATTAGGCCACAACTGCCCAGACACTAGGGCTCCCTAGTATTATTTTTTTCAGCAAAGACGCATTACATTGATCAAAAGTATCAGAGACATTAATAATTAACAAAAAAAAGGTTTATTATATTAAATAAATGCTTTTCTATTCATCAAAGAATTCTGAAAAAAAAAAGTACTGTGGTTTCCACAAAAATATGAAGCAGCACAAGGATTATGTGACACTGAAGACTGTAGCAATGATGCTGAAAATTCGGATTTGCATCACAGGAATAAATTGCATTTTAAAATGTATTATAATAGAAAAGAGTTAATGTATTTTAAATTGTAATAATATTTCACAATATTAGTGCTTTTTCTGCATTTTTGATCAAATAAATGCAGCCTAGGTGAGCATAAGAGACTTTTTCCAGAAACATTTGAAAAATCTTACCAACCTCAAACTGTTGAATGGTAGTGTATATATGTACAATTAAATCCATAAAGTGTGGGAAAATTGTTAAATTCTGGCATATTTTTATAATGTTCAGTGCATTTCCTTGTGTATCCGCACTGATAATTTTATAGTCCTGCTTGCACCACAAAATAAACCCAGTACATCAGCATGTACTTACAAAAAAATACTTTTTTAAGATTTACATTTATTACTAAAAAAACTTTTCCAAAGTATGTTTCACATCAGACAGAAACCATTCACATTTTTATGGTGTTCCACCATCTCTTGGCTGACATCCATCACAGTGAACTCTGGATAGCCTATAGTGAGATAGTCTAATTAAACCGCACAAGTGTCAGTACTGCTGGAGGATTTCTAAGAAGATTTCATCTTTCAGAAATATGGTTCAGCAGAAGGACATGAGAAACAAACAGTTATGCATTATGTAACTGTTGAAACATTCAACATATCAAGTATTGGTACAACACCTTACCTTATGCTTCATCATACCCTACTGCTACACTATACTGCACTACACTAATATATACTATATTATACTGTATTAGAATACTACACTGTCATTAATAAGTTTGAGGTCAGTTAATACTTTCGTTCAATAAAAGTGAATGTAAAGACATTTAATGTTACAAAAGATTTCTATTTCAAACAAATGCTCTTCTTTTGAACTTTCTATTCATCAAAGAATACTTAGAAATGTATCACCATTTCAAAATATTAAAGGGGTGGTTCAGTGTTTTTTTTCTAGGCTTGATTGTGTTTATGGGGTGCAGTCTAATGTGTTAATGCTTCGTTTTTTTTAAAAACGCATTATTTTTCACATAATTTACCTTTATTCCGCACCGCTCTGTCCCTTCTCTGAGAAACGGGTTGATCTTTTCCTTCTTTTATGAAGCCCCTCCCTCAGAAATAGGCAATGGGCTCTGATTGGTTAGCTAGCCCAGTGTGTTGTGACTGGCTAAACCGCCTCTAGTGCGCGTCTAAACATCCCGCCCTTCACCTCAGCGGCATGTGCTCCGGTTGTATTGTAAACAACGGCGTCGTTAATATCGCTTATCAGTTTGAGCCCGATTGAGAAACAGAGGATATTAGTGAAGAGGATCGCGCAGAACCTGTGCAATCACACAGTACGGTAACTGCACGTGCGTCCATGTTTAACGCTTCTCATAGCTATGTGAAAATAAGTGTATAATTGTAACCGTTCATTGCTGAGCTGAATGAGAGAATGAGAGAGAGATGCAGAGCGTGTGCAGAGCAGGGGGACGCGAGGAACAGTATTAAGAACCGCTGCTTTAGAACATTGATTTTGAAACTTGTGAATCCTTTAGAATCGTTAGAAGACAGAATCGCGATTCATATATGAATAGATTTTTACATGCACCTCTAGTTTTCTCTTCCTCTTCTCTAAAGCAGCGCAGCATGGCCTCGCCCCCTTTGCTGCCTTTTCCTGAGGGCGGGGTTTATCTGGGTTTGTGATGTCACGAACCCGGGAAGTAACTTGTTGTAGTCCCTACCAGACGTTTTTGTAGGCATTAAACTGCCAGAATTTTAAAAGACGATATCTCCGTTTGCATTGAACTTTCAGCTTCGTAACTTTGCAGATATTGTTTATGCTCAAACAGCAACATTACACACTAACTAACGTTAAAAAAGTGAAATCGCAATGAACCACCCCTTTAAACAGAACAGCGGTTTTAAACATTGATAATAATAATAAATGTTTCTTGATCAGCAAATCAGCATCATAGAATGATTTCTGAAGGATCATGTGACACTGAAAATTGGTGTAATGATGCTGAAAATTCAGCTTTGCCATCAAAGAAATGTTACATTTTACAATATATTTAAATAGAAAACAATATTACTGTTTTTACTGTATATTTTACTGCTATAGACTATATTATACTGTACCATACAACACTATACTAACTTTACCATTCTATACTCCACTACACTATGTAATGTAACATACTATATTACACTGTACAACACTACACAATAAAATACCATGCCATATTATGCTATACTGTAGGACCATTAAGTTCACCATAAATGTTGTTTAGTATGGTATGTGAAGTATAATATTGTACAAAATTTTACTATGGTAGTGTCAAAATTGAGTTATGAAATCAGTCTCAGACTATGATATGTCCTGTGACAGACAGGTTTGGCTGTTTAAATCATTAAAATCAATATGAAATCAGTCAAAATTGATTTAAAGTCATTTTTCTCAATTTTGTGTTGAAATACTGTGATTTGCCTTTATGACTGTACAGTATGTAAAGTATAGTGCTGTATTATTATAGTGCAGAACTTTAAATAAGTTATGTTAGTGGTGCACATTAAATGAAAGCAAATCAGTGTCAATATTAAAATGTTTCAGTGGTTTGTCTCTTTTCAGGAGGAACTGTGACTCAGAGTGCAGTGACGGAGAGGAGGATTTCTACTACACTGAGATTAAGCTGAACACAGACTCGATGGCGGACGGTTTGAGCAGTCTGTCTCCTGTGTCCCCGTCTGTGTTGTCCCCCCCGCCAGGTTTGGACCAGAGACAGCCGGATGGCACTAACGGAGCAAAGAGCGAGAACAGTACCACCACCCCTCTTAGCCGCTCTGCTCCCAGCGCACTCTACCTAGTGCACACAGACCACGCCTACCAGGTACAGCCCAACCAATCACGATGAGCTATGCACATCATTTACATAACATTACATCACTCGAGAGATTCACTCTAATGCTCTCAGAACACAACCACTAGACAAATACAATATGGATATGACCTAGTATTTGTATGCAATTACAGGAAGCAAGCAGAACATTTAATATCAGATAGCCCTCTCAATATGAAGACAGGCGAAGCTGTGCATAAAGATGCCCCTCGATCACAATATAGAGCATGAAAAGGTCACACTTGAGGAGAATTATGAGAAATCACATGTTCCTTTTAATGGGATCATATATACTACCATTCAAAAGTTTGGGGTTGGTAGGATTTCTTTGTGTTTTTGAAATAAGTGTCTTACGCTTACCAAGGCTGCATTTATTTGATCAAAAATACAGCAGAAACAGTCAAATTGTGAAATATTCCAATAAAATTTTTTTTTTCAATTTTAATATATTTTAAAATGTAATTTATTCCTGTGATGCAAAACTGAATTTTCAGCATCATTACTCCAGTCTTCAGTGTCGCATGACCCTTCATAAATCATTCTAATGTGCTGATTTGCTGCTCAAGAAACATTTCTTCTTATTATTAATGTTTAAAACAGTTGTTGCTTAATTTCTGTGGAAACCATGACACATTTTTTTCTTAATTCTTTGATGAACAGCAATTATTTGAAATAGAAATCTTTTGTAACATTATGAATTTTCCTTGATCCTTGATAAATAATTGAACAGTTGTGTACGACTTTTAAGACCTGTACAAATAAAAGTAATACCATATATTAGGGCTGGGTTTTGACACAAGTTTTGCGATTCGATTCAATTACCAATTTGATTCGATTCGATTCAATATCGATTATTTTGGATAAATATCAGGTACAGTACATGCCAAATTTTCTCAAGGAAAAAAAAATCTCTCAACTAATGCTGTAAAATATTCATGAGAGTCAGTTGGTTAAAGTTGACTGATTTGTAGGCTAATATACAACTGCTAAAATTACACTTAATGAAGTTTTGTAAATAATAAAGTTACAATTACATAATAATACTTCCACTTCAGTTCGTTTTTTTTAAATATAAACATTTAAATGTTGGCTGTCATAAAAACTTGATGGATTTATTCAAACATAAATTAAACATTGAAGAACAGTAAAATATATAATGAATATGTTATATGGTGCATATTTAGCAAAATGCCCCTCTACAGTTTATTTTTCTAGCTTACTAATGAGTTTATGGTCACTACATATGTTTTTTTTTCTGAGGTAAATGTGACGTTACATGACACATTGTTTACAAGACGTTATATTGACGTCTTTGCGCGGCTGAAACACTGATTGAGTGATTACATGAGACAGGATACGGATTGTAAAGTTGCACCCTTTATTTTAACTTACCTTCGGATGTGTAGTCATGTTTATTTTGTGCTGAAACTGGTATTAATGTGGAGGAGATGATTAGTTGATTAGCTGGAGATGATTAGCCGCGTCTCTGTTGAACTGAGGCGCTACAGCGATCTGTCACTCCACATTAAACAGCGCCAAAACGGCATTTATTGTTTGAATACTGCAATACAATGGACAGAATTTGAAATCTGAGACTTTGTTTCATATTAAAAGTACCAAAGCACTATGCTTATTGCGATATATTGGATGGGAAGTGCCCTTCAATGTTCCGTCCATTAACTGAAAACAGGCTAGAATAATCGATTCTTGGGATTTAAGAATCAAATTCGTTCCGTTAAAATGAGAATCGATTAAAATCGAGATATCAATATTTTTTACCCAGCCCTACCATATATACAGTTCAGTTACAGGTTTTCACACAAGAAAAAAGTTTTCAGTACACATTTTGGCCTTTAAACCATTTTTAAGGAATGGTATGAGTCAAAAGTATCAATTAGCCTATTACATTAATTGAAACAATTGTTACCAATCAATTATTATATGAATTTAATAACATATAAATATACAGTGGGTACGGAAAGTATTCAGACCCCCTTCAATTTTTCACTCTTTGTTATATTGCAGCCATTTGC